GAAAAATGTATGAATATCATGCAATGATCTGAGTTTAAGTGAAAGGCTAAATGTCTGAGATCCCAAGAAAACTTGATATCCACGGACTACAGAAAGCTGTTGGGCTTTCGGATGAACTACAGCAAGCAGTAAAGGCAACTCCTACTCTGCACAGTGAAGTGACATCTGGGTTTTGTTCTTCTGGCTGTTCCCTTCTGAACTGGACTTGGGCCTCAGAGGAGACGATTTATGTATAAAATTGCTATTATTTCCTTTCTTCCTTTTCCCCTCCCTTTAACCTTACTGAAGACAGTTGGTGTTTATTTCCATGTAAGTCTGAAGTCAGGAAAGGATGTAAATCAGAATAAACTTGACATTGTGTAATAAGGAAAATATGCAGAATTTTTAGCTTTTAAAAAATAACATTTAAGATATCATTTCTATTGTCATCCTCTCCTACAGGATTCTGGAGTTGTAATAAGCCATGCAAGGAAGAGACATTACTCCAAGATCTTTTTAAAGTAAGTTTCCATGAGGAAGAATAGTTAACTAAGCCTTCATGTATACAGAAGTGGAAGCATAGATGCAAATTTTGCATTCATAATTGCTGTCTTTCCAAATATAGAGGGTATCTTTTAGGTTGTAGGGTTTATGGTTTTTTGTATTTAAAACAAACACAGAGAAAAGTGTGTCAAAAAATCCCTAAACACTGAAATACATACTGCAAAAGCAACGTGTACATGACAAATTGAGAGTACAGATACCTCTACTTTTTGCATCAAGACACCTACTACAAATGCAGTACAGATATACCTTTTATTTTAAAACTTAGCATGTTCTTTTTGATCCAAACAAAAACAATCCTTATCTTTCGTCACTCCGTAATTAATCCAGTCTTAACTTTGTAGAAGTTGTATTGTAAACAAAAAAAAAAGCATGTCATGTTTTCAGTGTTAAATAGCACTGGAAGAGAAAGAACAGCAAACATCTCCCAGCCAGCGCAGACATTCTGACTTCCAGATTACAGTACATTGCTTTGCTTCCTCCAAATCCTGTTTACATGAGCAAGGTCAGGGGATGGAACATTAAAGAGCCTCTACAGTGATTTCCTGCTGCTGTCAGTAAAAACTACAGAGACACCATCAACTTTCCCTTGTTCCCAACAGCTTATCAGGGACCGGAGGTTACCAATGTATTGCCTTACAGAATTGACAAAACCCAAATTCCCTCAAGAGTAAAACTAAAATTGGAGGATGAAACAGGAGGAAACAGTTCCAAAGGGAAACAAAACTTCCAATTTTTCCTTTTCAATAGTTCAGAAATTAAGCTTAAGTTGCTTGAAACACAGAGAAGAAGGGGTGGGAGACAGGCAGTAATGCTTTCAGTCCTCAATGAAACAGAAAGGAGAAAGAAACACCACTCCCAGCCCTCAAACCTTGACTCCAATTCAGTGAACATTTTAGAGTGAAAAAGGCTAGAATATACATAATTTCTAGTAATTGCAACATATAAAGACTCTTGTCATTGGAAAAGTCAGGGCACTGCACAAATACTAGTCAGCTAAGCATACATGGCTCATTTTTACACTGGTTTCAGTAATACACAGAAGTGAATAAATGAATCATCAAATTCAAAGTTATTTCCTAAACATAATAACATACAGGAGGTTCTTAATGCTTTTGTAATTGTAGTCCAAAAGAAAGCAACTCCATATGAAGATCACACTGAAGTTCTTCCACTGATACAATGTCCACGTTCCCTTCACTAAGTTTACAAAGGAATTTGCATCAGTGTGAATCTGAGATGAAAAAAGGTTTTTCATCATGTTCAAAAAGACTTGGCCTTAGAGCTAAGCTAGAACACAAACTGAAAAGATAAGCTGTTTACAATTCAGGTAGTTTAATAATTTAATTGTTTTCTAGCAAAATCTCTAAAAGAACATTCATATCTGCATATCTTAGCTTAATCTTTGAAGCAAGAAAATACAACTAAATTTAAAAAAACATGTAAGCAGGCATTTTAAGTGCAGAAGCTGTGATTAATTGTTAGTTTTGATGAAGTAATAAATTAAAATTCCTTAAAAAGAAGAGGAGGAGGAGTGGGAGGAAGAGATAATACCAGTAATTTTTTCATACAGTTACAGCTCAAAAATATAAATGGACTGATAAGAAAATATCTAAACATACACTTTAAATTCATAATAAAGAATCAAGAGTGTTAAATTTTTAAATACTTTAAATACTTGTTTTTCAAGTCTTCTCCAGGCAGACTATTGTCAAGAATAGATGACAGCGATACTTCACTGCACCTTAAATGTATGGAGTTGGGTGTCCTGTTTTGGTCTTCTTCATTCCAGATAGACACTGGCATCCTGGAGCAAGTCCAGTGGAGGGTGAACAAGATGGTGAAGGGGCTGGAACACATGATATATAAGCAGAGGCAGATAACCAGGTTTGTTCAGCCTCAAGGAAGAAAGGATACATGGAGATCTTGCTGCCATCCCAAATATCTAATGGGTGGATAGAAAGAAGACAGACACAGATACTTATTAGAGGACCACTGCGAATTAGAGGTAACAGACATGCTGAAAAATAGGATATTCTAGCTATATATTATGAAAAAAAAATACTGTCATCAATCAAAGACTAGAGCAAGTTGCACAGAGAGATGGTGAAATCTCCATTCTTGCACATTACTAGCACATGAACTGGACAAGGCTTTTAAGAACTTGATCCAAGTTGGCCTTGCTTTAAGGGAAAGGTTAGATGAAATTACTCCAGGCATCCCTCTCAATCTATACTACTCTACCATTTTTATTAACAAATCCTCACAGAAGGGAAGTAAGACCTTTTTGCTCTGTCACAAGTCATCTTAGGGCCAGTAATAGCATATTCCCCATAAAGCAGTAGGACAGGACACAATTCCAGCTGAAGAAAAGATTATCAGTAAGAAGAGCACTTTCTCTTATTTCCTGGATTGAGACTAGATTGAGACCTGTGAACATCTGCCCACTTACTGTCAGAAATTTTGACAGCTATTCAATTGAACATTGCAAGGTTTTGCATACACTTCCAATCTTCCCGAAGACATCTCAGGGAGCTCAACACAGAACCTACAAAAGCTTCAGTGTTGTTACTTGTTCCAGAGAAACTGGAAGTCTTTAAATACTTTGAGACTGTGATCTAAGAAAGGCTGTCTCTCTCTTCTTCAGTAGAAAAATGAAAGACGTTGATTAGCTATGTCCAGTGGTCTAGAGACTTGCCAATGTATTTTTAAGACCTTGTCGCATTATATGCATAATAAATACATTGAACAAGAACCCCTAAAGATGTCCAAGTGCAGAGTGCATTCTTCTCACTGCAAATATCAGAAGGGCAAAAGAATTCCTTAAGCTAGAGTAAAACACTTCAAAAAGAGTAAGTAGATATAGACAGAACATTTGTAAATTAACCTGTCAACCTGATCAAAGACTTTTAGTCATTTGAACAGTGTTCTTTTAGTAGAAGTAGGACCAAAAAGTCATAAACAGCTTTAAAATGGGTCTTGGCATATTTGCTGGGGAAAAAAAACAACCTGCAGAGTGATTGTCTTTGATAATCAGTAGAAAAAGAGCAACCCATTGGGGTTGGAATCAGAGGGGCATGAATTAGGGAAGATGGTGAATTAGATTAGAGGTTGGAAACCTCAAGTTAGAGAAGGATTTAAAAAAATACACAAATAATGCAAAAAGCAACATCGCTTAGGTGAGGACAAACTGTATCAAGAGGAAATTTGGAAGTAAAGGTGTGATTGGAAGAAATCCAGCATCTGTCCTTCTCCCTTGTTTCTTATGAAGAACACATCAAGTCTCTATAAACAGGGCCTCTACACGTTAGGAAAATTGAGCCAGCTTCAGATGAAAAGGTCCAAGTCACTGAGATCCAGAACCCTTATAAACAAGACACAGAGGTCTAGGTGGCTGGTCTGATTAAGAAACAGGTGTTCATTCCACAAACAGCAGGTGCTGGTAATACAGCAGACAGACATCAGACAGAAAGATGACACTAAAAGATGAATTGATATTAGAAAGTTATCTTAAAGAACCTTATTTTCATTGTGAAAACACAACAAAACAAATGCTAAACATTAAAATACATATTATCTCCTCTCAAATACAAGTTATTATATGATTATTTGTTTCAAAGTAAAGGTTTGTCATCAACTTCTTAATCATGAACTTAAAGAATTTTATATAGTACCTTCACAGCTTACCTGTCACAAAGCATTCATGACAAAACAGAACAGCAGAAACCATACCTGCTGCATATGCACTAACCCTTCAACCACACAAACTCTTTTTATGGTAACTAAAAGTGCTCAAGATACAGTTTATACCTTCACAGGTCCAGATTCAGAGCTTAAAGAAAAATTCTCATTTTAACTTAATTCTAGAACAGCATGTCTTTTAGATTTCATACCAGGAGAGCATATTTCTCCTCCTACGAAACCACCACTAAAACATTGCCTTCCTTTCCTCCCACGTGCCATACCAATGTCATACATACAGCTAACATTAGAAGACTCTAATCCTATCATTCTGCCTTAAAATGTCTTACTTTTTTTTCTCCTAGAGAACTACTAAATGCCTTAAAAGGAAAAAAATTAAAACGGCACTTCTGGAATTGTATCCGTGAGACAGCTATTCTTTAGATTTCCCGTTATTTGCAGATAAAGACAGAGTTACAAAAAGTGTTTGAGAATAAACCACAAATTTTAACAGTAATATTTAGATGTAATTAGCGTGGGCTTATAAATAGAATTTCTGTTTATATAGTGGTAAAATTACAGTATAATATGAAAGCTTTGCTATTACACCATCTTCTGGTTAAGCTTGGGAACTGTGACAGAAAGCCTAAGTTGAGAACTTAGGAGATTGAGCTCTGAGCACTCAAAAATTGTTAAAAAATATTTCATTCATATGGACAGAAAGAGTACATTTCTGATAACAGCTATATTTTTTTATTTTTTTTTAAGCAACTTACCAGAGTCCTGAAAGACGAAGAGGTTCTAATCTCTATGACAGGTGGGTCAGGTGTTTGTGTATCAGTTACATCACACGTAGGGTCAACCTGTTGAAAATGAATTATGTTATTATTTCAGCACCAGCAGAGAAAGGGAAATAAGAATGAAATAAAAAGTGAGCACACATGTAGCAATCCAGGTCAGTCAGTTCTCACATTCAAGTTCCTCAAGTCATCTAACACAAACAGACTGTTGACATGCTTACTTATTATGTCCCAACTCTGATTGCCAAAATAACTTGAAAAACACTGTTGTGGAAAACAGGTAGGAGATCACACTAAAATCTCTGATAAGTTAACCATCCAAATACAAATGGCTACTGTTACTGAAACCACAGGAAACACTGCTTTATACTGAGACAATGTCAGAGGCTGATTGATCAGACACCTCATCACAACATCTGCAATTTTGCTTTTAATATCACAGTTGGACTACTTGCTTATTGTTGGTTATAGGACTTAATCTGCAGCTTTAGCAATATTTTACTAATGTCCTTTCCTGAAAGTGAAGTATTGATAAAATATCAGATAATATAAAGTTTGAAAAAGCTGCTGCTTTCACCTAAGGATCAGAATAACTTCCCTATAAAAATTTGTGTGTGCATCTTCTCTACCATTATATTATCTAGGTGTATCATAACCTGTTTGCCTTTTCAGCATGATGTATAGAAGTACTATTCTCCTTATTTTATAAACTGGCAAAATTCATAGAAAGACTAGATGACTTTCAAATTGCCAAGAAGCCTAACGTAATAAAGAGAAATGAACTTTTCTCTTTTCAACTTTTTATCAGCAATCCAACAGCAGCCTTATCAGAGAGAGCATTAATTCCAAACATCTTATTGAAAGCGGAAAAAAATAAACAAAACCCTCAAAACTCACACTGGCCTAGTGACAGGGTTGTATTTTAGTCACTAAAAGTTTCTTAGATACAAGAGTTATTTTATTTTGCCTTTTCAAGAGGAAGATCCTACTATTTCACCTGAAGACTGTCAAAATTCTGTCTCAGTCAGAGCAGCTTCCTCAGTAACTTCTTCAGTACTATTTCCACAAGTTAGAATCCCTGAGGCTAGGGTCCACACGTTGGCATATAGATCTTGAGGTCAGACATGTTTGTTAAGTAGCGAGAAAGCAATCTTAAATCTAGAATTAGTAGCCAGGGAAGGAGGGCAATAGCATGTTGTAGTGCCTGAAGACTTTTCATTCAGTTCATTTGGATTTCCATGACTGCATGTATGCAGAAATTTAGCTTAAAATTAATAGAAGTAAGATCTTCCTCAGTAAATGTGAGTGGAAGAAGAAGGTGAACAAAGTTTAACAGCAAGATAGAAGGTAAAGAAACCTTTAAATACAAATATTTTCAGATTATTCAAGGTGAAAGTGGTTCTCATGCTTTGCAGCACTTACAGATCAGAGATGACAAGCCTTCCTTAAGGGGAGACCTAAATTCTGGTTTTAAGCTTGTTCACTTTTCTGACTAGCTCGCTCACTTTTCTGACTAGCTCGCTCTTCCCTTCAGTTTCAACAAGTCATTCTTCATTCATGAACTGTTTTTTTTCTGTCTTCAGATTATTTTTGCATCAATCAAGAATAAGCAGGGACTCAGGGACAATCAAGAAAACTCATACTGCTACAGGGCCATCACAAGCTGAATACTTAAAATTCTCCCCATTTGTAGATATTAGGATCTTCTTCCTCATTTATAGATATTAGGATCAAGTCCTGCTTTCTTCCAGTTTTCTCAAAGACACTTGGAAGAAATAAAGGGATAAAGGAGAATGAAAGCCAGGTAACATGGCCTACATAACAACCTTCTAAGTAGCTAAAAGTTCTACCATTTTAACTGGACTTCTCCTTTAGCATCTTCTTAACAGAAATACGATCCATGAAAGTCTCCTCTGAATACAGTACTGCTTACTACTCAGTGCAGAGAGGAACAGCAAATTTTACTTTTTTTCCCCTCCATACATGCCATGCCTATTGAGATTAAACAGGCAACTGTCCTAAAGAGCTTACATTTATTCAGTGCCCAGGATCATTTGCTTCTGACATTGTCTTACAATAAACATGATTAATGCATTATCAGAGTATCAATCCTACTACAGGTAGCTAAGACTAAAGTAGTTTTCTGACATGAATCATTTGGGTGCTGAAGCGAGGACAATGCACCTGCAGGATTCTGCAGAAGAGAGACAGCAGGTGCCTACTACCTATCAATAGTCTAATGTGGAGGAGCTACTGCAGTATTACTACTAATAGCTCTTGAAACATTCTCTTTGAGATATCTCCTTATATACATCAAAGATATTGTAGAATGAGTTAAATGCTTTCCTTGATATACGTTGCTAAATAAATATATAGTATTACTAAGTTAAGCAAATGTGCTCTTTATGTGGAAGTGTCATATCCTGGACTTGGAATGAAAGTTCTTCTGCATACAGTTCTGCTTACTGCTTTATCAGAGATAAGGGAATGATGAGGAGCACTGTAAACACTGACTAGGGGTACAGGAACTTTCATAAACTATATTTCAAAAAATTAAATATAAAATTATTAAGCAACTAGTCAGGGCATCTAAAATGTGTCTAAAGAAATGAGCACAAAAACATGAAGGCTGTAGATGAACCCTTCTTACAAATATTAGTGTTTAATATTGCACTAAAAATGAATGAGATAATGAAATTAATCTAAATGTAAAAGTTTCACCTTCCTAACAAGGTGATGTAGTTAGCTGTAAAACAATCCTACCAAACACATTTGGAAAGATTTAACTTTGGAAACAAGACAGAAAAACCAGAACACTAAAAAGTATTTATATATACTTATATAAGTATTTTCATTATCAACTTTTAATATGGTAATACGATTATCACATTTTGATCCATAGCACAAGAAAACATATTTGAAGGAAGGTTTCTATGAATCCTTCCATGCATTAGAAAAAATGAAGTCAATAAAATTAAAAGAGGAAGTCCTAAATGACTCACACCAAGTATTTCCTAGAAAAGTGATGTGAAATAGTCTCTCCAAATATACTAAGAGAAAAGTAGCATTCAATTTGATTAAACACCGGTTTTGTTCTAGACTGGAGCCCTCAAGCCAAGTGAGCTATATATTCTTTTTTCTACTGCCACCTAGTGTATATTTTGATTTCCTTCATCTAGGAAAATTTTTACAACTGAAATTACACTGAAGATTTTAAGATAAAACTAAATCAACAGAAGCTATTTCTGATCAACATATAAACTCTATGTACCTTAATTCTGTTCAAATCTCAAAGCTATGTTTTGAAAGGAAACTTTTTTCTACCTTCCATCTATTTTAAAGAGGTCTCTAGATTATGAAAGGTAAATTATATACAAACATGGTAAATTCATAAATAAAACTGTCACCAAGTAGAATGCATTTTTTAGTATTTTTCACTAAAACTGCATTACTGTTTAAAGCCACTGTTTTCAAATAACTCCAAAAGGTCCTTGTGTCAAAGAGAGACAATGACTGGGATTTATCTCAGCTAAATTTAGACATACTGCTAGACATCTATATTTGAGCTGGTCACCCAAGATTACCTCTGTGGTCAACAGAAAAAAAAGCAGGTGCCTTCAGAGAACAAGTCATTTACTTACATTTACAAATAGTCTGAATAAGTGTAATGATTATAAGCATTAAATCTCTACTTACTCAAATATTCAAGAAATCACATTGACCAGTGCAGTTGGAGAACGGTTGTAAAGAATTGTAAGTCAATAACAGGAAATTCAACACTTCATTAAAATTCAGGCTACTGCTGGTCTGAGGAGGAGGAGTTCTTGTAAAAGTTAATTATGTGTCAAAAAATAGGTATGTAGAGAGAGAAAAAAAAAAAACCTAGGGAGTGACTTAAATATTAATGGTTCTATGTATAGCTTGGAAGAGTGAATAAAGAAAAGTTATGAGAAAAGGTGAAAGTACACACTAGCTCCAAGTTTTTGTCACTATCCTGAAGGCAAAATACCAGGTGATACCTATAATTCTTAATGCCCTTGTGCAAGCTGCTTTATTCAAAACAGCACTTCCAACAGGTGATGTGGGAAAACACTGCAACTGTGTCTCTGATCCCAGCTGAAGAAACCAGCTCAGCACAACTCAGGGCAATGCATTACAACATATCTCAAATGTCTATGTAACATTGTAGTGGCTTGTAGCAAACCTTAAATGGTCATCTATGCTTTTAAATATCCCTTATCTAAACTGCCTCTTCTGTCTGCTTGTAATTCTTGCATATGTTACCAAGTCTCTTAGAAAACTGTTACTTCCGTTTAGTTAAGATAGATTATCTTACCCCATTCACAGAAATATGAAGAGAAAGGAAGAAAATAAAGAGAAAGAAAACAGTTATGAATATTATCTGAGGTGTAGATATTAGGAAAAACTGTGTCATTACAATTGTTGTGCTGTAGTGGAATAAGATCCCCCAAAGAGCCTGGGGAATCTCTATCATTCTTCAAGGCCCTCTAACTAGACACAGCTGACTTCATGTAACATTAACAAGAATAGATGACTTCCAAAAGCTCGCTCTGACACATCTGTGATTCAATCCCTCCTTTCCCTTATATATGAGAAACATGATGAACCACTGAAAGATGAGGGTGGTATTGTGGTGGAACTGACTAATGTCAAAATTCTATCTGTTGCCTCAAACTTAGAAAGAGGCTGAGGTATTAAAAAAATAACAAGTTTTAACCAAAGAAGGACAAAAATACTTTTATTTTTTTTTCTTATCCAGAGTACAGCATAGCACAGTGGGGCAAGACATGATGCTTCTTCTCATTTATGAGAGGAAATATTTAAGACAATGGAACACTGAAAAATTTCAAGCACAGTTAGTGCCACTAAAGCATATTACTGCTGGTAGTAACCTGATGCTAGTTTTGTCTGGATAAATTATGTTTCTGTCCAGTTGGTAAGGTCTATTCTTCCTCATCATAACAAAAATCCCCTCTGTAGACAGGAGGAGCAATAAAAAAATCAGTAAAAGACATACAGAGCAACAGAACTCAGTAACTTCACCTTAACTTTGTCTAAATTACTGCATTATTAATTCTGAAAATTAGCTGTAAGAGAGATCCTAATCATTATTACTATAATATTTAATTTAAATATGTAAAAATTTAGTATATTACAATAATATGAATTTTGTGGAACTATCAGACACTGTTTTGTCTCAAAGATATTCTACTGACAATGTGTTTAGTTTTCCATTAACATCACAACAACCCTATTCCTAAAATCCTGAAATCAGGCCAGAAAATAAACCACAAAGAGTCCAAAACTTTGCTGGGACAAATGACAAAACCATAGAGCCCTTTCACCACTATGGAGCACCTACGAATAAATGCAGACATTAGGTTAAGTGAGTCTGTCAAAACTAACTGATAAATAACTTCTTGACATTCAACTATCAAATTTCCCTGATGTGCCCTTTCAGTATTAAAACTGAGGTGCTTCCTAGTCTTAGTTTAACTCTAGCCTGAACTCATTAATGCTTTCCCAGAGCTCCTCAGTTACCTGCGATCAGGAAAAGGAAAAAACGTGAAAAATTGCTTTAGAGTACACTGACATCTTTGCCAAGCATCTGAGCAGGAGAGGTCTGGAAACACTGACCTGAACAGAAAGCAACTGAAATCTGCAGCTATAAGCTACTGTTTACTTAGCACATGTTATACCTGGGTGCAATTTGAACGCGTCTTGAAGCAAACTGTTGATACAGCAAGAGTGGCTTAAATCTCCTAGGAAAGGCTGTGATAGTTCTGGCACTGACCAACTATACTGTAGGCTGGCACCAGTAAACTTAACTTCATTCATTGACCTTACAATGAATATCAAAGTCCAGCACAGAAGTTTGTTTATGAAGCTTGTCATATACGCAGTTATCCTGTTCTTGTTCTGATCAAAATGCTAAGCATCAGAAAGCTTCACATCCAACACATCAACACAACCAGGCACGTGAGAAATCTCAGTGATGAATTCTGTGAGAGTTCCCCTCCTCCACCAAGGTGTTTTCAATCTGTATACTATTCATATTGCATATATTCATATTGCATACGTACCCACCCACCAAAAAAAAAATCTCCAAATGGCAATGTTTTAAAACTCCAAGTAAGAAAAAAATGCCATGGTAGCAGTATTTACATTTTATATGAACACAACCAGGTAATGGTGAATTTCTATAGTACTATGACAGTATATGACAGCAACCAAAAAGTTCCAAGATTTATCTGTGAAACAGTTCTTCAACACTAGAGGCACCTGGACAAAATCAAAAAAGATATAAAAGTACAGGTAATCACCATGCAGAAGCTAGCCAGCTCTGTCAAAGACAGTCACAGGTATAGCATAAGCAATGACCTCATTGAAGGCATAGTACTTTTTACCAATTTGCTTACAGACAACACGACAAACAGGATTTTTCCAAATAATGAAACAGAATATTTGATATTTCATTTTGGTTCCCAAATTTCCAATACTTCCAAGGGATGCCAGTAGATGCTTTGACAGCAACGTAGTTCAAGAATGAAGTTATCATGAAATCAAACTACACAGTGACATAAAACACACAACTAACCTATAAAGTCTTTCTAAACTTTTAGATACATATTAAGATCTTCTCATGATACCTTGGAAAGAGCAACAACTTGTGGCAATCAAATATTTGACTTTCAGTAATAATGTCACTTTGTCCTGCTTATAATGATGTATTTTGATTAGTATTCTAAAGCTCACTGCAGATTCAGAACCTTCTGCAACACTTGCCAAGTTACTTCAGAAACCAGATTATCACCTATGGTTTTTTTAAATCAGATGTACAGACTTATATTAAAAGCATGAAAGGAATTTCAGCATAAATCTGACAGCATCAGCTAGTCTAATAAACTTAATGTGGATTCATAAATTACAGTTGCTCCCAAAGTATTATTCATAACAATAAAATGTTCTCTGGTATACACAGAACATATTTAACTATAAATGCCAGACAGCTTCTGGTTTCCTGTATTAGATAACTTACTGCACTCACCTCAACTGACTGAAGTTTTCCATCATGGAGATGAGGTGATCTCGGGTAAATATCAAGTAGATGAGGAGGCTCATCAATATGTGTTCTTCTAAAATTGTGTTTAAGAACTTCTTTATAATCAAAAGAATCAAAGTTTGTTTTCCATAGTAATACCTGTAAGAAGCCATCATATCAGTAACTACTAGAAGTCTATTCAGTGCTCAAAACATAACTACTGAGTCAAGTCTGTTATTACTAATAGAGCACTACATCATAATAAACTGCAGTGATCACTTAGTCTGATCTCTACAACACAGGTACTTCCCCAGAGTATCTTGTACTTCAAGTCTAAAAGATGTGATTTAGTTTATTAAAACAAACAAACAAACAAACAACAACTCTAAAATATGTCCACAATCATAAAACAAAGCAAACTTCTGTCCCACTGAACCAAGTTATTTTTCTGACAAATCAAGTGGTCATACACTGTTAAGTTTCTGCCCCATATAAAGGCTTGCAGGTTTAATAAGAAAGTTTGATGGCATAATAGAAATGACAGAGTTCCACAGAACTCTGAAACACCTGGTTCCAGTGTTTTAGCAGCAGGAATCTGCTTTCTGAACCTTGTCCAATTATACTCTAGGTAGCAACAATATACAATAGTCATACAATGGTCAAATGCAGAAGTGAGGTCATAGAATGGAGAGAGAGGTAGTCCAAAGCTGTTCTATCCATCCAGTCTTATGGATATTCCAGGAAACCAAACCATAACACACCCTACATTAACAGTAAACCAACAGAGTGAGTCAAGAAGTCCCACAACTATTCTCCTGGCAGACCTGGAAGAGGGCTGTGGACAGATCAGCAAGAAAGGATGTTTGTGGAATACATGTGTGTATACACCAACAGAAAATGGACACTGAAGAATCAAGTTCTTATGTTTACTATAGATAAAGATATATACACTGGTAGTTACCTAACAGTGGTCAGCAATGAACCTTTTAAACCTAGAAAAGTAAAAACTATAACAAAATAAGTAGCCCTCTCCCACCAAAACTTGAATAAAACAAAGGGGAAAACTTCAACAAATACAGGAAGGCCTGTTTTTAAGGTAACTACACCCAGGATTCATTATCAGACCTACTAGGACTACTTTATAAATTCAACTTTTAAATAAGAAAGTGCTTCCTGATGAAACTGGATCTTCCTTCTCTTGCATTCAGAATGAAACCACTACATCAAACTGCTGAGAAACATGGGTCACTTTATAGATTTTTACCTACTCTCTCCCTGATGCCGTGCACCAGCTCTACAGCATGGAATCACAGGGCAGGAGAAGGCAACGACATGACTGCATTGAACATGCCTGTTCATTCAGGGTGCCCCAAATTCAAAAGAAGTTTGAAATAAGACAGGCATTCCCAGGGCATGCTGGCATTCAACTGGGAGGCTGTGTTAGGCTTAACACAATAGGTCTTTTCCCTCATCAGAGCTTCTCAGATAACTCTTCTGTCAGGTGACCTAGTTTAATACATGCACATTGTTTCCTCTCAAGTTAAGTATAATATACAAATCATCATAAAACTCAAATGAAGTACTCATGAAAGGTAAGGTCAACAATTCAGAATTACTTGGGAATCTAAGTTGCATTTTGTAACTTAAAAAAATCTTATTAAAAACTTCAGTATGAAAAAGAAAATATTATACTGATAGGTCAAGAAATAAATCTCTTTCCCCAGTTCTTGGGGGTTTTTTTTGGTTGTTTAGGGTTTTTTGTTTTGTTTGGGGTTTTTTCCACTTGTAAAATTACTATTGGAAGTCTGACAACATAACATTTTCACTTTTCCAATAACTGCAAATCTTGGCAGTGCTTCTTACTTAACACCTTGTGACAGAAAGCAATTTTAATTTTTTTTCAAGTGCTTTCAAGTCATTCCAGAAAAGTGTGCTACTGTAAGCAATAAGTAAAAACCAGAAACAGATTGCATTTGTTCTAATGATACTGAAGTTTTTAATTGAAAATAGTATTTCAATAGCTGAAACTTATTTCAAGCTCCAGAAAACAAAATAAAAACACGAATCATGGTAAATTCAAAGGTTCTTAATTTCTACATCATGGCTTTCTGTATCTATGTTGAGCTTTTGGCTTCTTCTAACAGGAAACAATGGAAAAGACAATTAATATTAAGGAACATTTCAGACTGAAAATTTAAACCTTATGCTACAAAAGTTCTTTCATTTGGAAAATGTAAAGACCTGACAGAGATGATTTAAAGTTTGATAGTATTTTTTCAGTTGTAAGATTCATCACAGCAGATGAAGATTAATTATACGATTTGCTGTTTAATTTAACTTTTTTGTTTTAAATGCTCAAACAACCCTTCCCTATGTATAATCCATTACTTTACTGTTTCATTGAAGTAAATTAGCAAAGCTAACACAAGACTGTTTTTCCCCAATTCTTGCCAAATTTTTCCCAGTAATACAACTTAATTCTTGCAATTACAGAGTAGAGACTTTAAAAGAAGTGAAAACCTAACAAAGTAACTAGGCCTTAATACAAACTGCAACACAACGACTTAGTTGACACTGAATTGCAACACTTAAAATATTTTTATTTAAAAATCATTCCTTTATTTTAATATTCAAAATAGAAGTGACTAGTATTGTGGTCTTCTCCTCATCATAACATCCAGTGCAAATTAACACACTAGTAGACAGAATGCATGTGAGCACACTGTAAGTAGCATGTTACTGTGACATACTATATATAACTCCCATCCACTGCAACAAACATTAAGACATTCAGTTTAAAGAGACAATACCACAAACCTGAGCATCTGCTCCACCTGAGGCAAATTTTTCACCACCTTTTGAAAAAGCCACAGAAAGTACAGGTCCCTGGAGAAAAAAAAAGGCATACAATAAAATTACAGTTACTGTAATCATGGTGCTTTAATGCAAAGAGAAAAACATTGATGCCATTACCTACTATAACAGAATTTTCAATTTTAATAAAATAAGGAACAACTTTACTATAGTGAAATTTTTGCCAAACAATTTCATTGAAGAGTTAATATTGCACTTCTCAGTAAGATGCTGTATTACAATTACCATAATCAATACTAGGAAAATAGTGGCATTTTCATTAGATTTTATACTTCAACTCTGCAACAAAAAATTACAAAATATATATTAAATTACTCAAGGCTATGTGTTTGACTGATTCATTATCAAAAATCGGGTTTGTTTTGCATTAAGAGGAAAAGGAGGAAATGCCTGCCATTCTTCACCAAAGTTGTCTTCTGTAAGCTTCTCCCTCCTTAGAAAGCAGTGGTTTTCAATAGACAAAAAGACTAAGCGCCAAATAATATGATTTTGAAAATCAAGAGGATTTTTAATGAATTCAGAACATGAACTACTACTTAACATTTAGCATGTCATATTGACAGATAAAAAGGCCAGAGGTAAAACAGATGCATTTCCTTAACCACTTGTAACAAGCTGCATTAATACAACACCTTGCTGTCCACTAAAGTTTATCCGCAAGTTGTAAGATATAAGACACGACAGCATAAACGTTAGTTTCCCTTTGAAAAGATACTGAACAATCTATTAAAATCTCCATTTAAAGGGGATTATTGTGTATACCTTGTGTCCATGGAGAGTGTAAATAAGTCTTTCTTCTAAGAGGTCCAGAATCTTAAGGGTACCATCAGTAGAAGCAGTGATGAGGTAGTTACCAGAAGGATGGAATGATACACAATTAACCCCTGCTCTGTGAACTAATTTACAGAAGACAATATTCAAAGGCTGTAGATATCTACTAAGAGGAAACGTACACTTTATTTCTTTGCTCTTTTCTACTTCCTAAAGAACAGCCTACTTCATTTAAGGGAAAAACAACCAGTGCTGGGGCATAGCAGACTCTCAAAAGTATTTGCTTAGTTCTGATTGAAAAATTAGGAGATGCAAAGAAATAAAAAGGATTCAGATTGGATTTTTAGGTTTGCTAGACTACAAAAAGATACTTACAATATGCCAATATGACTTGTTTGTCCACTTTCCCCAGTAAGGAATGAAATAACATACTCTAATAAATCACAATTCATTGCAAAGAGATCCCTTGTAAAGAAAATAAAACAAACTACATTGGTTTTACCTTTGAAATGCTGCAGTAGCTTGTTCATTCGAATATCCCACAGTTTTACTGTATGATTGGAACCTGCAGAAACTATACACGTTCCACTTGGGTTGAAATCCACAAAATTTACAAATCTAAATATAATTAATGAAAACAGATTGATTATATGTTTCCATAGAAATATTTAGGTGTATATATACATAAACCCACAATATTAACACTGAGCCACCAAAAACTTGCGTGAAATCCAAGTGTATGGAAACTCAATGCATTTCAAGTAACTGAAATAAGCATAAGAAAACAAGATGTGCACGATAAATCAGACTGTACGTGGCTTTTGTTGAAAATATAGTATAATTGACCCAACTCAAACCTTCAGAGTTTGTTTTGGAGTATAAAGTTCCCAGAAGATAGTGCTGCAAAGAGTTTGTAAGCAACAAGTAAAATAATTATGTCTAAAAACTGAATATCTAGCTGTAACAATATTGTAAATTGGTAAAAAGGATGAAGGCAGCCATGAAACCAGCAAAGCACATATACAAGATATATATTCCACTGACTTGTTAATTAAAACTCTGGTTCCAAGATGTTTAAGAAAACTGCGTATAAGTAAAAACAAGTATTTTTTAAATTTAAAGAAGGCAGATCACTGAAGCTAACAGAATATTTTTTCATCAACAAATGGAAAATTCTTCAACTTCTCTTCTTGTTGAAGCATCCAATATCAAATAGCACTATCAAAATGGAGGGAAAACTCAAAAACATTCCAAAAATCCAAGAATAACCCCACTCCTGCCTGGACTGACTTTGTTGATGGAAAACAGCTGGATAAGTGCAGTCAGTTAACCTCTTTAGAAAAACTCTAGATGAAGTATTTTACTTCACATGGGTGGTAGATGTTTGATCTGTTTTCAGATTTAACACATAAAGATGTTAATATCACAGAAGATGCATTTGATCTCATTAAAATGACACATTTACACTTCTTTTTTTTTCTAGTAACACTTACCCTTCATAATCTGAGAAGCTATTAATGCAATTTTTATTTCTTGTATCCCAAATCTTAACAGATTTATCCTCACTGCAAGATGCTATTATTCTTCCATCAGGTGAAAATCTGGAATGTGCATTGTGTATACATTATTAAACATCTGATACTACCTAGATGAGCATTACAGACATAAGTCGAAAATTACCAGAGCCAAGAAAGCCCATTTGAAATAAAGATGTGTAACGTTTAAAGGACATTTGAATTTCTCGTATTTCTCAGGGACTAATAAAACTGAAAAGCTTCTCCCCTTACTCCTCCCTGCTTCATTTCACAATCAAATACAATTAAAAACAGAGCCATAAGCAAGAGAAAGAGTGGGGCAGGTAGGTATCAGCAGCCTAAGGATGTCACTTCAGATGCCGAAGAGGTTATTATAGAAAACTATAGGCAAAAGAAAAAGAGGACACAGTAGAACCTTGTGTTCCATTTTAACCTACATATATGTTCTCCTCTGAGTTCTCCCTAGACTTACAAATTGTTAGCAAAGCATTCACAATTACTCCTAGACTAGCAGACTAGGTTTTTAAATAGTAAAACTGATTTGGGTAGAATTTCCTCAAGCATTATTATTTCACATCTTGAGCAACTTCACAAGGACATTAGAAAACTGTTCAAGAACTTCCACATGCAATTTCCTAGAGCTTTAATTTTTCTTTTCAACAATCAGATACTTTGAAACTTTGTAGGGCTCTGCACTTCACACCAGGGTTAAATTTCTTTCTCGATAGATTTAAATCAGGCATCTCTTAGTTGAAAATTTCCCATCAATGTGGCAAAAAGGAAAAGAAAAACCAGCAAAGAACAAGAATAGTTAAGAAAACCCTTACCACACATAATAAATCTAAAAACAAGTGAAGGCTGTGAAATAAGTTAATACAGCATGAAACCAAACAAGACTGGGGAAAGACTGGATACTGACTGAAAATAAATACAGAAGACTGTGTTTGTCCTTTAAAGAATTAATACACAGCAACAGATTTAATATGTACACATATTAATACAGAGCAAGCTTTCATAATTCAACTAGGAGATATATACAAAACTTGTGTAAATAAGATTGATTGATTAAAATTGAATTATTCGTGATAGATAATCATTTGTGTTTCACAGATTTTTCTTCCCTTAGTTCTGCCCTGGGACATAAAAACACTTTGTTAGGTGTTCTGCTTTACCAAGAGAATAAAAATAACACTTACTTGGCACAGAGAACCCAATGAGTGTGTTGGAATAGGGTAAACAACAGGCGCTGACTGCAAACACTCCATATTTTTATTGATTTATCATTGGATGCTGAAACTAGAGAGCAGCCATCATGGGAGAAGCTCACACTACGAACAGATGCTGTATGACCTTTCAATACTGATGATTCTCCATGACTAAGGGGGTAGGGGGGAAAAGAAACAAAACCCCAAACACCAAGTCATAAATCACAACTATATTAAAGAGTTTAAAACCCTGTAAAACTCAATGTTAACATATTCAGAATCTTAGTGTCACCATTATTTTTTACTTATTTCAATGTTAATTATTAGAATAACATCCTTTAAATTGCATTTAATATGACACAATTTTAGAGAACTGTGCAAGTAACTAGAAGCATTAACCTTCAGTACCATTAGCATTAATATTTGAAAGAGAATTTTTTTTATACAGTAATCTACAAAATGCTTTAAAGTAACATCAGTTTTTCTACCATCATTCTGAATTGCTTGTAATCACTACTACTTAAGAACAGTCTAATAAAGCAAGTAGATTAAAACCAGTTTTTTTCCAAAAAAGCTATTTTGTTTCCTTCATCATTTGTCTCCCCTAAATGAAGTGCAGCCATGCAATCTTTACTAAAATATAATCTTTAATCCAGACAAATACTACCAAGTATAGTCCTACACACATGAAACTGTGACCTCTGAACTGCTACATTTTTCTTTTGAAACTACAGCATATTCAGTAAAGAATAAAGTAACACAGTAAAGAACTGTGCTATTTGTGCTCTCCAACCTCTGTTTCTGTCAAAGCCCAGGCATGTGGGAAGGAAAAAGAAACTTTCCTTGAGCAGACTCCAGTATTCGAATTACACTTTAATGAAACACATATCTAGCATTGGCCAGTTATACTCACATGCAAGGAATCCATAGTCTGACAGTATGATCTTGAGAAGATGAAGCCAGTAGCTGCCCATCTGGTGAGAACTCTACACTGGTCACCGCTTCCATATGGCCTATAAATCTGTAAGCTCTGCATCGTGCCTGCAGCTTCCACACCATAAGAAACCTATCCAAAGAGCAGGTAGCTGGCAAGAAGTAAGACATATTAGGAGTCTCTTCGCTGTTCTTATAAAAACCAGAGCTAATGACTACGGATTTGTATTCAATAGTGAACTTACTGAGTCTTAGGGGGAGGGAGGAGTTGTTGGATTTTAATGGATACTTGGCCTGAGCAGAAGCTTGGCAGCAAGCAATGCCAAAATCAGGCTTTTCAAACGTTATCACAAGACTGGGAGGAGTAAAGGATAATTCCTAACAGGCAGCTCTCTCACATACTAAGCAAACCACCTTGCAAGTACTTGCAAGATACAGAACAATAAATCCAAAGCCAAACACCATGCACATCATTAAGTATGAATCCAGATTTGGTGTTACCAAATACTAAGATGAATAGATAAATTCTTTAGTAATCTCATTTTGATCTCTGAGATGGAATTTGTTTCATGTATCAAGAGTTTAACTGTGAAAAAGCAAGCCAACTTGAATTCAAGACATGATTTCTAACACTTCAGATATCTAAAGTGAAGATATCCGTATATGATAATTCTATAATCCTATTTAAGTACCAGTTTTATAATACTAATATTTGTCTAGTTCAAAACACAACATAAAGTTGTCAGCCTGGTAATAGAAAGAATTTTTTTTTCTTTGCAGTCACTTTACAGTTGGATCATACTATCTACACTTGAAAAGGTAAACATAACTTTTAACAGAGTTTGATCATTTTCAGGAAACTATAAACAGCAAAGGTAATAAGCAGTTGAATTAAACTGGCACATGCAATATTCTTATGTCCCTATTATCTTCATCTCTGCTAATTGCTAGTATGTAGGACATAAATAAAAACAAGGTATTTACACTCCCATCCCTCATCTATAAATTCCTACCCCTAGTAGAGAAAAAGGGGGAGAGGAAGAACAGAGACCTCTTAGAAGTTGAAGAGGACATTAAGAGGATGGCTCTTCTCTTCCCAGCCTCTATAAATCACCAACATAGTACAAAGGAAGTTTGTTTATTATCACGTGTGTCAAGGCAATCCTCAAACAAAATGCTAGAATATTAAATATTGGACTTTTCTAAAACAAATAATTGATGAACTAAGGTACCTATGGTACCTTATGAACTGTACGAAGGTTGTGCAATACCAGCTGTCTTTGCTTTCAGTTCTAAAAACTGAAGAAAATATTCTTTGAAAGATGACAGTACAATACATTCAAAGCCTGGTTTCTTATAGCTTGCTCTCTCACAGATGGGTTATCCCAAGGTTAATGAGACACAAGCAGTGACCTGAAGTTCTTTCCGTGGGACATCCAAAATCATCTTCCTTGTTTTCCCTCTGGACTACGCTGCTTAGGCTTGCACAACATCCTCCCTCCATCCTTACCTATGTGTCTCTCTTGAAGCCACCTGCCCATTACCATGACAAACAAAGACTAATACCATCTCTAATAAGCTGTTCCAGCCCAGCCAACACCACTCCAGGGTGATGGAGGGAAGAAGTTCAGGATTTGCACAAAAAAGGGTGAGTAACTGACAGACCGTTACAGAAATATTTTCCTAAGGCACACAGGCTGATGTCACTCTATATTTGAACACCATGGGAGAGACAAACTCAAACAAAGAAACTCTTAAGCCAAAACTCTACATCTATTTTGAACTTTGGCCCCTATCCTGACAGGGAAATCAGTCCCTTTAACATTAATGAGGCTCAACCAAGTCAAACTATTCTCTGTTCAAGCAGGCTGAAAAAAATTTTGGTACATATGGCTAACACCCAAGGATTTCACTGTAATGGTAAACGTTTTACCTCAAATAATCACAAGCAGAGAATACAAGAGTCCATAGGGTAAATATGCTGCCAGTAACTTAAAACCAGTTTTATCCAGGAAAATGTACTTTTATCAAGTAAACATCTCTATTTCTCTTTATTCCATTCTAAGGGCTTTTGCCTACTTTATAAGAAAGCTGCTGCTTCAATTTACTCAAGCACAGTACTTTCAGGCTGTGCAGATGATGCATTCTGACAGCCCTTACTGAGTATATCGGCACCCTACAGTCTGACATTCAGTTACCAAATCACCACTAAATAGTCCACAAGGCTAATTTAAAGTACTGGATCTGAAACAAAAGAAATACAGAAGGTCCATAAGAATTTTTTAGGATGTGCTGTAGCACAAACAGGTCTGTTGCTCCTCAGAGAACACATGACATAACCAGAACCACGTTTAGAGGCATGTCCTTGCTGTGAAAATATTTGATCAACTGCAAAGTACAATTAAAAAGTAGAAGGCTGAAAATTCACACTGAGCTGAGTCCAATATGCAACTTAGTCCAGTTTATAAGCTGGTTTTGTTGTGGTTTTGTTTTTTTTTTTTAAACATCAGTACTTCTGTACACACCCAAGTACAGCTGATATGTCATTGGGTAATTTGCTTTTCTGCTGATGAGTCATAACAGAATTGAACACCAAAGAATAAAGACCTGGCCTTAAGCAAAGACCAAGTTTACACACCACTTTGGTGCAGATCTCTAAACAGATATCTGAGCTTCACATATGCCATGAAAAAAATTTTGTGGTATTTGCAATGAAACAAAATTCAATTTATAAATTGTTACTGTATACTATGGTATACATTTTCATATATACCCACATATATATGAAGACACAAGTTGTTGTAATACAGAATTACCATTTCACTCCCACAGTATCACAGTAGTGACTAAGAAAGTTGTGCAGAGATCAGAGAAGACAAACTCAGCCAGGTTTTAACAGTTAGATGTACTTCTCTCAAAGTAAGCATCTCTAATATAATTAATTGCTCAGTGCAAGAGTTACAGGGCAGACAGAATACAGGGATGTGCACATGATGGGTGTGCAAATATTCAAATATCGCCACTACCAACAAATCCTCACACTTTACAGGAACTCTGCAACTCTCAATGTCATAAGGTAAAATACCAAAATACAAACATGTTTGTGAATTGCAAAATTTCCTACCTGGCAAAAAACAATTATTAACTGAACTTCTGTCAAGAAAGCCACCCTGGAATTCTAAGCACAGTGGATAAAATACAGGGAACTTCTAATAACTCACATAAGTTCAAGTTCATGACAGTTTTTATCGCATACTGTATACATTACACAAGAGAAAGAGAACTGAAGAGTCAGCACACATTTAATTATCATTCTGGATTTTATTCCTTCAAAAGAAACCCCAAAGCCCTCCATAGTTATTCAGTGTTAAGTTTACATTCAATTTTTTTAAGTCACTTAGAATCAGTAGTTTAAAATATGTACAAGTGTTTTCCAAATTTTCAAAGTCTAACAGAATAGAAAACCATTCAGAGTTTCAGATTTTCCAAAAATCTGTACATACTGAAAAATAACTGGAGTATTTCTGTAGAGTTGCCACAACTCAATTCAAAACTAGTTGAACTTGAAATGACAAGGTAGGTTTTCTTTCTCTTCCTTCTTTTTCTCTCCTTCTCTATCCCTCCTCCTTTTATTCCATAATTTTAACTCCCATCAGGAAGATTTTTTTTTCCAGGGCCAGGTTATTTACTTTCACTTTTTTTTTTCCAATTAGTTTATAAATAACTCCAAAAATAGAATGGGAGGTCATGGGGAAGAAGAAGGGTTTAGATGCATACAGAGAGAATAACTTTCAAACCGAGAGACAGATTCACTTAGAATTATTGCTTCAATAGATAAGGAACACTTTGAATGTCAGTTTTAACACAAAGGTAGTTCTTTATAAGAAATGCAGTTTTTGCCTAGAGCTAAAAAAGTTAACTGTATAAAAGTTGCATAGTCTACATTAACACCATTTAATTACTTTCATCCGAGGAAACATGCATTGCATATACGACTTATGACCTGCCACACAGGAGAACCTAGGCCTTTTCCCTGTCATTTCTATTGAATATAACAATCTACAGAAAGCTTTTCACAAAAGCACATACTTTATTTAATTAACTGCTCCAGTACATAATGACTGGCTGCCTTTTAACATTTGATAAATGGTTCTTAACTTGCAGGTTCACAAAAGAATTCCTTACTGCAGTGGAATGGAATTTTTCAGGAATGTTTCCCTTATGTGGTAAAAGTTCCCTTTTTAAAAAAACAAACAAACAAACAAATAAAAAACAGAAAAAAAAAAGTTTAGGGAAAGAAAGAAAAAAAGTATTAAATTGCAAGTAACTGCCTAAAAATAACTTAAAGACCTAAAAGAACCCATGCCACACAGTGGCAAGCACTTTTAGCATGATTCAGTGCTACATCCCAAGCTCCAAGTTGTCTTCTGTTCGTCTACTACCTTAACCTGCTTCCACCCAAACCTCTCAATGCTTTCAGACCACTAAGATTTAAGAATACATCCTAATTTCCTCTTTCTTTATTCTTGGCAAAACTTCAACTACATCAGGTCTCACCCCTTTTTAACCTTTCTACCTACTAACACCTGCAGTAAATGCACACATACTTTCTCACTAGCTCGAGTTCCTACCTACCAGTCCCAAGTCCCAAGTCAAGAATTACTGTACTGTGGGTACTGAAGAATATTTATCACTTCAGTGAAGGCAATCAAAAAAGCTGGAATGCCCAAAACATTAAGAAAAGTGTTCAACTTAAATCACATAAATCACATAAACCTAAAAAACAGATACTAACACAAGATTTTTCTTCAAATACACAATATATCTACTACATCTACCATCTATAATCATGCTCAAAACAGATGACATGATTCAAGAATCAATATTCTTCAGAACACAGCATAACAGGATAGAGAAAACATTCTGAATAAGTCATTCTGTGAACCAGTTTACCCACAAATCTTGTTTTCCTCCAAGCAGTCCTTTGCCTTTTCAACTCCCCTCACGTCAGCAATGCCAGCTTCCTAACCTCATCCAAGGTCTCCTGTGGTACTGTTGTAACTAGAAAGAGGCAGCTTATGCTGCATTATTCCAAAATTCTATCTAGGACTGATGCATACCAGCGCTGCTGAAACACAAAACAGCCCAAGTTTTCCTCCATGTTACCTTTCTCTCCTCCACTGACAGATCAAATAAAAAAAAAAAATTGATCTGTAGTCTAGAACACAAGTTTTGTGTCCCTAGGATGTGAGACTGAACATGGAAAAGCTTACACAGAGGCAACGTAAATATTAAAAATATAGCTAAGAAACCATAGTACCTAATGCAACTCTATACTTTCTTTCCCTCTCCATTACCTTTAAACAGAATACTTAGTTGTAGCCCCCCCCATTTTTTCCCATTTGTGGTACCATCAGCATGTCCTTGGTTCCACTGCCACCACACTCTTCTCTAAATGCATGGAGGCTCCCAACTAACCCCCATGAGGTAAGGTTTTTACAATAGGTACAAAATGCAAAGCGGTGCCAAAGCCCATCTACTAAATAAACTTCCTGTTCTTCTATGTGATATAGCTAGTTGTTACCCTTAACAGCCTGTACATTCCTAGAAAAATGCAGAATATTACAAGGCTTAGATTCAATTTTCAACATCAATGTTCATTCAATCACATGCCTTACTTAAAGTGTTAGACACGTATGTTATAATGTATCTGCAACACAGGTCACCTAATACCACTGCAAGAACCTTAACTTCTACTTCTGTAAGTAAAGATTCTTTACTTTCTTGTAATATGATCTTGCAGGATTATTGCATAATTATTTTTTTATTAAGACAAAAAAAATCCTGTCTTAGTCCACTCAAAAGCCTTTGTTTTACCATAGGCAAGACAGGCCCAAAGTAAGAAAATAACAAATCAAAATTTTACAAAAATAAAAGGCATTAGATCTGTATTCCATGTTTTAGAAACCAAGCCCCAGGATTTACTTTTGCTTTCTATACAACTGATCACAAGAGATAGTTTCTACACCACTACAGACACATCTGAAAACATTCCAAGGTATTCAATCAAATGTTGCTATGTGTTCATACATGTAAAAACCTTGGAGATTACTCCAAAAACCTTGGAGAGTCCATTCGATTCATAGTACCAGCAGTGACTATTTCTCAAATTTCCACATCTGGTTTCTATCTGCAGCATTACAAGTTCTCATCTGCACATCAGCACGCCCCTCAGTTGTACGATAAGCAGTAAGGCACTTCCCTGAATGAGGATGATAAATAGTCCCATCTTCTTTGAAATGCCAGATAATAATTTCTGGCACAGGAGAACCATCTTTTGGGCAGCTCCTCATACCAATGAAGTCTTCATGTTCAGGGACTTCAGCACATAGCTCAGTTACAGAGTTAAATCTAATCTCCTGATTTGATGTATATTCAAAAAATTGGTTGCCTCCCTGACCGTGACAGCCAAAGAGAGAAAGGTGAGACCCAGTAGGATTATGTTCTTGTAAGACATAGTCAAGGCACTCTGAAGGTATTCCTCTGCTGCGGATAGCACCATGCCAGCCAGGACGATCTTCTGGTACATGCAACTCAGCAAATACATTTTTTAAATACCAGTTAAAACTCTTGCATTTCAAACGCTCTCTAAGTATCTTTCTCTCAGAAATATCTCCATAGTTTTCTTTTCTTGCTGACGGATTTCTGTTGTAAAAGTGATCTTTGAACTCATCCATCCACACCTCAGCAGCACGTGCCGTGTTCTGCAGGAAGTTTGGTCTAGCATAGGGTGCTCGCTTTGGAAACACGTGGCCCACATGGGAGCATGGATGAATTTCCAACATGCCTCCACACTGCCAAACCCTAAATGATAATTCTAAGTTCTCCCCTCCCCAAACATCCATTCCTGTATCATAGGTACCTAGGTACTCAAAATATTTCTTGCTGACAGCAAACAAGCCACCAGCCATAGTTGGGGATCTGATTGGGTCGGTTTCATATTTGCGCCTGAGACGTTCGTGTTTAGGCACTGAGTGCCACTGGAATGTCAGACGCCAGTCAAACCCCCCAATCATGGGCTCTGCTGTTTGCATGTAGTATTCAAATGTTTTCCAGTCAATGGTGTCAATGACAGGACAAACAATAACAGTCTCATTCTCAGCAATCCTCTCGAGCAGTGGTTCCAGCCAGCCAGAGACACATTCACAGTGACAATCTAGGAATGTGAGGACATCACCAGTAGCAAAGGTAGCGCCAATTAAGCGTGCACGAACCAATCCTTCTCGTTTGTTGGTTCTTATCAAGCGAACTCTTTTCAGACTGCTTATGTATTTTTCAAGTTCAGCCTTCAAATACGTTTTATCACTCAGGTCATCCACCAGTATAATTTCTTTCAGAAGCACTGAAGGTGACGTTTCAAGAACACTATGTATCGTCCGCAGCAACGTTGACCAGGCTTCATTGTAAAAAGCAATTATAACAGATGTCGTGGGCAGTCTTCTGTAGTCATAAGATTTAGTCTTACAACCGCTCAGTCGATTATCTTCAATGTGGCGGTGGAGAGAGATTTTATCACTCAAATAAATATTAATTGCATACTTCTCGATCAGCTCTTCTTCCTGTTTCTTTTCCTCAGGACTTAGCTGCGGGCGAGAGGGTTTACCCCATTCTCCTGGGGCATGAGGATCAGGCGGGGGTTTGTCATAAACCGGACGAGCCAAATCTACAGCTTCTTCTGCTCTGTCAGAAAAGCGCCTCTCCCATTTCCCTTTAGTGATGCTCTCTCCGGCGAGGGAGGCACCGAAGGAAGAAACCGACAGCTCGACCACAAAGTAAGCGATCATTAAGAAGCCGAGGAACATGCAGCTTTTACGGACCCACGTCCATCTTCTCGCCAGTCGGATCCTCATCGTAGGTGGTTAAAAGCAGCTCGTAGCAGAGAGGGGCTCCGTGAAGTCCTGCCGGCTCCCTCCGCGCCCCCGGGGCGGAGAGGACCGCAGGCAATCCCAGCTGCGGGCTCGGGCCGCCGGCAGTTTGCACCAGCGCCCGGCCGTGGCGGGCCCAGCCGATTCCACAGGGACGGCGAGGGGAGCGGGGCAGCAGTGGAGGCACGGAGCAGACCCCTGCCCCTCCGGCCTCGGCGCTCCCCTTACTTCCTCCTCCCCTCCTCCTCTCTCTCAGCGGGACAAACCCCTCCTCCCGCCCTGTGGTTTGCTCAAAAAGTTGTCGCTTAAGGAAGGGGCAGAGACTCCTCGACCCGCCTGGCCGGCGCGGGAGCCCGCCCCGCCTCCGCGCCCGGAACCGCCGGGCGGCTCCGCCAGCTGCCGGGGAGAGAGGGAGGGAGGAGGGAGCGGGCTGCCCCGCCCGGAAAGCAAACGGCGCCCGGCCCCGCACTCACCCAGCCCCGCCGCGTCCGCGTTGAAGGCGACGCCCGTCACCGCCGCCAAGTGGCCTCGGAAAGGCCGGATCAGGACGGGGTCCTCCTGGGGAGAGGGTGCGCACCGTCAGGTTGCGGGCGGGGGCGGCCCCCGGAGGGGCCGCTAACGCCCCGCGCGCGGCGGGAGCCCGGCGGTCCCGGCGCCTTGAGCGCTCCCACCGGCGGGGCCGTGGCCGCGCAGCCCTCGGCGCCGGGCGACACGCGCCGGCCGCGGCTCGGCTGCCCTCGCCGGCGACCGGAGCCCGGGGCCGAGCCCTTACCAGCGCGGAGGCCATGGGCGGAGCGGGGCCCTGCGGCCCGTCAGAGCGCCCGCGCTCCGGGCGCGGCCGGGCCCCCCGTTCATCCGCCGCGCCACCAGCGCGGCTCCCGAGCCGCCCCTGCGCGGCCGCCCCGCGCTCGCTGCGCGGGCGGGGCGGGTCCCTTGTGAAGCCGCAGCGCCCCCGCGCGCCCGGCCCGGCCGCGGGGCTCGGGTGGCCGGGGCGGCGGGAGCGGAGCGGAGGGGTGCGCTGGTCAGGCCGGGCGAATTAAAGACTCTGAGTTTGCCCGGTGGCCAGGACAGAGCGCTTTGTGCTTGCAGGAGGCTGAGCTCTCACCCATGGGGGCAGTTCGCCGGGTGTTGGAGCCGGGGGGTCTCCGGAGCCATAGGGTGGGACAGTCTACCGCGGGAGATATTTAAAAAAGCACCAAACAAAACAACAACAAAAAACTCTAAACAAACAAAAAAACAAAAACTGCCCAAACCACGTTTTTTCCTCCCAGCAAGTGAGAGAACCCCTAGTGCTGGTGGTTCCCGAGCCAGGTGGTGGCCGCCGGTGCTGAGCCCGGGGCCCGAGCGCTGTCCCAGCCGAGTGTCGGGCGGAGCCGCTTCCCCCTGCCGCTCCATGGGGACTGTCAGGGCAGCTGCGAGCAAGCCTGAAGAAGCAAAATCTTCAAGAGTAGCGGGAAGATCTGGTTACCTCGATGTTACCTCGGTTTTGTGACTTACAAATTCATGCAAGACAGCTCTGTTTAAAAGCTCAGACTGATTTTGTATTAAGCCACCCTAGGTAGTTTGGCCTCTTGTCTTTTTTAATTCAGTTGTTTTTTAGCCTGTTAATAATTTCTAGATTTCCAAGTCAGCACTCATGTTTGTGTCATACAGAGTTGTCTTTAAACAGACATTTAATGCTTTAAAAATCTACAACTACCTTAAAAACCCCAAAACCTCAACATTGCAATGCTGGTGTTAGTAATGGTGAGAATTTTTATACAGCCTCATAGTAAGCTAGATAAAGGAACTAACCTCACTGGAAAAGTACTGCTCCAATAGCTATGCTAGTAAAAAGAGGGATGACATAAATTAGCAAAAAGGAGGACTGTGATAGCAAAGCTGTCATTGGATACACAGGTGTTCCTGAAGAAGTAACTCATATTGCAATTACCCTTTTTTCTTTTTTAAATCCAGTCTGCATTTTACAGTTTCTTCTGACATTAAACTCTTACATCTACAGAATCAGGTCAGTAATTAGGCCAACATATAAGAACTGTCACTTATAGGACAGTTCCAAATCAGTTGTGTTTAACCACAAAATGGACCTTTAAAATAATAATTTTAAAAGTGGTGAAAAGAGCAGGATTGTCACTACCAGAATATAAGGAGGTTTCCATGAAAACCCCTTACGTTGACGTTACACAGGCTGATAATTTGTCATAGCTTCTCCACATGAAAGCTTTTTAAAAAAATAAATGTAGGACAGGACACACTGACTTTAATTTGGACCTAGCAAAAGCTACAGTTTTATGCCATTACTTCTTTTGGTTTGTTCGTGGAGTTTTGGTTTGGTTGGGTTTTCTTGGGTTTTTTTCCTACACAGCTTGGCCTCCCATCCTTTTGTTTTAGTTCCCGCGATTTAGTTTTCACAAAGTAAGACATAGCCTTTTAAGTTGGTAATGATATATTCCACTTTCTACCCCATTGCAGGAACAGTAAGTTTACTAGATAAATTCACTTGGCCTCTTTACCACTATTGAAGTCTTCCAGCCTTTCTCAACATTTTTTCCAGCTATCCTCTTTCTCCCAGGTTTTATCAGCTGTGAATGATATATCTTGTCAGGGAGACAGACAAGCTACATTTACATCCTATCCCCCAGGGAAACAGGTTTAATACCAAACTTCATGTGCTCTTAAGTTATTTCGTGTCTTCTTGTCTCTTCATCGTCTCCTGAATGTGCTACTTTAGTTGTGTGTTGTGGTATTTCAGTATTTCTGGTACCTTATGTTTTCAAGTTCAGATCTGTTCTTGAAGCTCCTTAAAACCCAGTGGACATGTTATTTTATTTAGAAATTGAACTAAATTACAATTCACAGTCATACTGAATCCTTTTCCTTTTGCCTTCTTCACATCTGCTATGCTTGCAGCAGCTCAGTATATTTTACTAATTTTGGGGTACTAGTAATAAACTGGAGTCTCTGCCTGCCCACAAAATTCCTGAATTATAAAGTATCAGGTGATAGGGATAAAGCAAATGAAGGGCTGAAATTACAGAGAGAGAGAACGGCATCCCTCTTTCTACAAATTGATGGAAGAGTGTTTCTCAAATTGTAGGACTTACAAAGTTAGTCTCTTCCTTGCTGTTTCTCTTCACCTGAGAGTGCTTTGAAGACTTCAAAATGCCTGTAGAAAGCAAAGTATTCCCTTGCTGCAGCCATTTAATTAGCTAGAATGACTGTAGTTATAAAGCTGGCATGTAATAGTTTTTATGCTGATTATGTTTCCTCATTAGCATGTATAGATTTTATTTTTAGAATTATTTTAAGATTATTGCAACTCTTAATACAATTATGAGTTGGCGTTGTCATTTTAAGGTTGAGAATAACTTTTCTGTGATATGCAAGTGCAATTTATCGTTATAAGTTGTTGGGCATTGTGATGACAATGAGAAATGGTGCCTGAGAAAATACGTTCTAAGTGTTGTGTCTCAGTAGGCTGCTGTTTCAGTAGCTATGGAGTTTTTTCTCTCAGGCACTGTGTTAAGGTAGTACATGTCCAGACAGAAATTATGTCTGCAGAAGAACACTTTAAGATTGTAATTCCAAGTTCATGCAAGCTGCATGGCCACTGTAGGAAAGGACCTAGTAAGAGGATGTTTAGAATTCAAGGACACATGGACTAATTTGTTAACCTTGGTGCATGTATTTTGCAATGCATATGTTAGTTACACTGATCACATATGATTTCATAATTGATGTAATACAATGCATGTGCACAAGGGGAAAATAATATACTAGCCCTTCAAAAATTCTCTCCTGTCTAAAATGAGGACTTTTAACCTAATGTTAATCCTCCTTTACAATAAAACTGAGAACCCCAAGTTTAATTATGTGGAATCACACTGGGAGCAGCTGTGTCAGCAGCAGAGATGGCCCTTGGGCTATTGGCAGGTGATGGTGCTCCGTGAGCACTAGAGGGGAGTGTGAGATATGCTTTGCCAGCATGGTGTTGATTATTCATCCACCTACAGGCAGGAAAAAGATGTAGTCTCAGGGCACAAAGACTTAATTACAGGCTGTCTTAGTGTTGAAGAACCATTATACCATATGCTCCCTGCATCTTTCCAACCTCTGATCCTACATTTTTTTCCTCCTCCATCAAAATAGTTATGAAAATAAAATAAATATTAAACCTATAAAATAACTTGTGGAGAAGTGTTGGTTTTTTTGTTCTGTTGAAATTTTCTTATCAAAATCCCATTAAAGGCTGTTTGCCAACAGCAGCAAGAAAATGGAAAAGAAATGAGTATCAAATAGGTGCATAAAGATTTGAAATGCAGGAGTGATTTGGAATATATATGATGTTACTTTTGGTCTAAGAAACATCCCAGGGTTCTGGGGGAATTGGCAGGTGTAGTTGCTAAACCATCCTCCATCATATTTGAAAAGTCATGATAGTCAAGCTGTGACTACCATTCACAGTGTGAATACCAGTATTACCAGTAACTACGTCGGTGACTGAGGGAGAGGGAATATCACACCCAGACCCTGGGAACTGCTGACCAGTCAGCCTCACCTTTGTGCCCAGTGAGATCGTGGAGCAGGTCTTCTTGGAAGTTATGTCAAAGCAGATGGAAGATGATTATACGAAGATGATTAAAAACAGCCAACATGGCTTCATCAGGGGCAAATCATGCCCTACTAATCTAGTGGTCTGTGATGGAGTGACTGCATCAGTGGACAAAGGAAGAGGAACTGATGTTACTTACCTGTAACTTCTGCAAAGACATTAATGATGCCCCCCACAATGCTTTTGCTGCTAAACTGACATAGATTTGGTGAATGGACTGTTAGATGAAATGGGAATTGTATGGCCACAACCAAAGAGATACCAGTGCTGAGTGGTGTTCCTCCAGGGATCTGTTTTTTATTGATGAAATAGACAGTGGGATTGAGTGCACCTTCAGCAAGTTTGTGGATAAGACCAAGCTGAGTGGTGCATATGAGGGAAGGGATGCCACCCAGAGGACCTTAACAGGCCTGAAGATTGGCCTGTACAAACATCATGAAGTTTAATAACACCAAGTGCAAGGTCCTGCACCTGGCTTGAGGCAATGCCTTGTACCAATATAGACTGGGAGATGAATGAATTGACAGCAGTCCTGTGGAGAAGGACTTGAGAATACTGGTGGATGAAAAGCTGGACATGGTCCTGCAATGTGTAACTTAGAGCCCAGAAAGCCAACCATATCCTGGGCTGCATCAAAAGCAACATGACCAGCAGATTGAGGGAGATGATTCTCACCCTGTGCTCTGCTATGCTCTGCTCTGCTCTCATGACACCCCACCTGGAGTGCTGCATCCAGCTCTGGGACCCCCAAGAAGGACATGGACCTGTTGGAGCAGGTCCAGAGGAGAGCCACAAAAATGGTCATTGAGCTGTTGTAGCTGATAAATGTTTGAGACTTTCTCTTGTTCAGTATAGGGGTTTCATTTGTACTGAAGAATAAATAAGAGAACTTTAAGTGCCTGAAGGGAAACACATGTGAAAGAAAAATGCATAATTTAAACCAAACACTTAAAAAAATAACTATCTGGATTAGAAACTGAGAGTGACAATTATTCTGCCAAGGAACTTGTCTTAAAGTAATTAGAATTTGTAAAAAAGTGGGTGTGTTATCCAAAGGATTTTTTTCTGCTTGTTCCTTTCAATTAGATGCTTTTGTATAAAAGATAAATATCTTTTTAATGACAATGGGGATAAAATCCCTTAATGTTCCTCCTTAAGTACCCAAGCTCAATAAAAATACTGACATAGTAATACGCAGATGAAGCACGAGCTGAGCTGCATTTAA